AGTTTCTTCAAAATCAGTTTTAAGTCCAGTTATAAAATTTCCTTTCTTGGGCTTTAATATTTTAACTTCCTCTTTGTTCTTCCTTCAAGTGTCAAAACTGTCAAAAATATTTCAAATCCTCATTAAAAGTACTTTCCCTCGGGTTTCTTTTTCTTGTATTAATTTTAATTTCTCCAAATCCAATTTTAAATCCAGTTATAAAGTTTTTTTTTTCTTGGGCTTTAGTACTTTAACCTCCTCTTTGTTCTTCTCCCGCCATTAAAATTCCCAAGTGCCAATTAGCCGCTCATTTCCGCTCTGGAACACCTTTAAAGTTTTTTTTAAATTTCCTTTTTTACCTGTGGGTTGGCCAATCACTCATCCGGTACCAGTACTCCTTTCAAACACTGTTCCTGCACAAAAATCTTATTCCAGTTGCCCCAGCTTCAGAGCGGTCATTTTTTATTGGCCACCACACCCGCCACTGGTTCGAAGAGCTGCCTCCGACCTTTCAAGGAACTTGCCTGTTCCTCTTGGTCGTCCAAGGCACCGCTCCTTCTTTACCATCCCTACAGGACAGTTCCAGTCCGAAGAACTCCCGACAGTGGTTTGTCTGGTTGGATTTTCACAGAGCTTGTCAGAGCCCACTATTTTCCAGCTGGACTTGCTGTGACGCTTCCAGTTTCTCTAGTATTTTAGACTTGTATGGTCCCTGAAGTATCAGGTAAGTGCAAAAAGATCTATCTAATGAGACCAATATCTGTCTCTTTACTATGTAAAAAGAATACATGTGTATAATACATATGTTGATAAGACTTTCTATGATATTCATAGAAAGATTTTCATACAGCAGGTCTGAAATGAAACAGTTATGAACAGTTTTACCTTTAAAAATTGGGCTTACATGGCTCAAGCGGGGGGTGGGGGTTGTGTCATTTTTTCTCTTATGTTTTCATTTTGCTTTATTTTGCTTTTTAATCGGAAGACAGAACCAGGGAATCTAAAGAGATTGCTTCCAAAATGGATGGTTCCTAATGTGGCCAATAAAATAAACTGTGGATATATTCTGCTTTTTTTATTACTGTTTTATGGGTGTATCATAAGAAAAATGATAGCAGAAGTACCAAGAAAAAAACACCAAGGTAGTTACAAGTGAAAGATGACAATATCTCAAATGCTGATAAAATCCCACTTTTTATGAACAAAAACTTGCCAAATAAAAATCTCATCTGGAAACAATCAGAGCAGGCAAGTACCAAGAAGTGTGAGGCATGTGCTCAGCTATATGAATGTTCCCCAAAACAGTCTTTTATCCTTTCTTACTGAGCCCTCCTCCTATAGATTAGCTATGGACAATTGTAATGAATTTCTGTACAGATAGTGCTCAACTTATGACCACAATTGAGACCAGAATTTCCAGTTAAGCAAAGGAATTGTTAAATGAGTCATGCCCAATTTTACAACCTTTTCTGCCATCATTGTTATGCCAATCACTGCAGTTAAATGATTCATTCAGTCATTAAGCAAATCTGGCTTCCTTCAGTTGATTTTGCTTGTTGGAAGCTAGCTTAGAAGGTTGTGAATGGTGATCACATGATCCTTGGACGCTGCAGTCATTGCAAATACATGCCAGTGAACAAGAAGCACTTGAAGTCTGAACATGTGACCCATGAGGTAAGTGTGAGTACTGGTTGTAAATGTCTTTTTTCTGTGTCATTGTAACTTGATCGATCACTAAATGAATGGTTGTAAGTCAAGGACTACCTGTATTGACATATGCATGTCTGTAAAGATACGTTCCTTACTTTTTTTTCTGCGTTTTTCTTTCTTTTATAATTTTGTGTTTTCTTTTTCTACATTTTTTAATATATAATTAACTTTAAAAAGGGAAACTGAACAGAGTTCAGGTTCCAAGTGGCTTGTGCTGACTCCATGCACTTAAACGGAGAGAATTTTCCTAACTTGCCATAATCACACTACAACCGTATTGTAAAAACTATTTTTTTCTGCCCCATGTTTGTAACATGTTTTTATCCCAACCCCAGCTCATATCTGAAGTAGCTTAAAGATTAGTTTCCGCTAGAAGAACGAAATAATAATAACTAGAAAGTAGAAGGGCATAATAAGGTTAATACATTTAAATATCTCTGGGTGGCTTTTCACTTGAAAGATGGTGGTGGAGGAATGTACATAAGAATTATATGGTACAATCATCACTTAAGTTGATGAATGTCTTTAAGTATTTCTTTTATACTAGCGAAGGACAGTTAGTCTCTGTGGCTTTAAAACTTTTTGAAGCTAAATCATTGATTCAAATCTTTTATGGGGTACAAGCTGGAATTTATCTGAAGAAGCAACCATGGGAAATAGTGTAAACAAAATTCCTGTGATCAATTTTAGATGCTCTGTTAAGGCTTGAGATAGGAATGCTGTTCAGATTAGGGTCTGGAAGATGATGATTTACTGGCTCAAAATGTTATTTTTTCCAGTTGATCTGGCCTCCCGTTCTAACAGATAACTTTTCACCTCACCCTGGAAATAGGTGGTAGAGAATAACTGCCTTCATATGGGCTCTCTCCATTCTTAAAATCATCAGGTTACAATCAAGCTAAGCAATTAATTACTCAAAGAATAAGAGATGTGGAGTTCCAGATTGGAGTTAATAGGCAACATGATAGAATTTGGATTAACAGGGACACGTGGGACCGGCAAGCTAATTGCTAAATCTAATTTTCCCTAAGATGAGAATTGCATTCTCTAAAGCTAGATTTAACATTCTTCCATCTGTACTTCTTCAAGGCAGATATAGTAAAATCCTGGTAGCTGAGCATATTGGCTCACATGGTGATGGGGAAATTGAAACCATATCATTACGCTGTAAATTTTATAAAGCCATTAGGTCAATTTACACTGTATCCCTAACAAATTCCCTGGGAGGCCAGTTAAATTTTATATGAACCTTTTCCTTCAGGATTTAAAACTATTCATTATATGTGCAGTTGCTAAATTTTGTGTTGCTGGGATGAAAGCAAGATATAATTGGCTTGTATTTACCTTGGTTTTAAACATTATTCTTGGTTTGATACATCTTAATTAATAAATAGTAGGCATATATAGTTTTCATTTTATGCCTATTGCCATTTTAGATTTATTACCGGGATAAGATCTGTATTAACATAGTAACAGAGGAGTGAATGCTATATTTTGTAATTTATTCTATTGAATGTTAGTATATCATTGTACCTATTTGCTTTACTTTTCCTTTAAATTTTACTGATTATTAACTGAATAACTATTATTGACTTAAAGATGTAGCTATTCCAATTTTAAGCTATTTTTCTCTCTTCATCTCACATAATTTTTGCCATAGACTCAACCTGATAAACCTCATAGATTATTGCCATGTTTTTCAGCCTTGGCAAGTTTAAGATGTGTGGACTTCAATTCCCAGAATTCCGTCCTCAGCAGGAGTCCAGAACAGCTCTTTCCCATTTTCTCCCATCCACATTCACCTTATTGCCTTCAGGGAAAATAAGAGAATCCACAAATCCTTTTTCTTAACTGACCCACAATACAGTAAAGGCAGCATCACTTGCCAATCTTGTTACTGGGCCTGAATAGGGAACAGCAATGAGAGCAGCAAATCTTATGCCAGGACACTTTTTCTGCAATCACGATATGGATAGTTCTTAATTCAGCTGAAAAAATCCTACCCCAAGATAATGGTTTTCGTATTTTAAAATTGAAATAATGAAAATAATTCTCATCCCCGTGTTTTAATCCTAGTATGTAGGACACCTAGATATACTTCCATATAGGAAAGAAAGAAGAACGGAGACAAGATTTATTTTATTTTACTTCTTATTTTTTTTAAGCACAATCAGCAAACTTTGTTATACCACAGATGCCCTAATTTTGTTTAAACTGCTATGCAATTGCACTACCTTGTTTGTTATCTTAGGGAGAAAAAGATCTTGATCTGGTCTAGTTTATAGCTAGAATAAAGGAATGGTATATCGGAAAGGTTAGTTTTTGCCTGATCCTTGGTCTCAAACTATCTTGAGTAACACTGTTATTTGTAGTTTAAATTAGAACATAGACGGCAGCAGTGAATTCCAATAGCTTTTCAACCACTAGGGTCATTGGATGACCTGTTTTAGCTTAACACATCACAGTTATTGGTGAGAATGGAAGAAGAAGGTGCCTATAATGCTGTGACCCAATAAAGCAGTAGCATACCATCTGCCATTGCTAGATGAACCCATGATGTTCTTTTATTGCCTGCTTGGTATTTCACAAAAGCCACAGGATTTTCAAACAGCTGGCGGTCTCTAGTGTGTAACTGAAAATCTGTTTCTAGCACGGCCGAACACAAACTGTGCAGATTTTCACTTCGTGCTGTGTGCCAACCTCACCAACCCTGATAGTTCAGGATGAGTTCCAACCAACATTTAAAATAAACAAGCATCAATACAGATGCCAACTGTTAGGCTTCTCTCTCCGTGACAACTATCAGCTTCCCTGCTGCAAGGGCTCTGCTCCCATTCTTAAATTAACAGCTTCCTGTAATTGCCTTGCAAGTGACAGCTTGAATCACAACAGGACTTGCAGACATGAACAATTCAAACCCCACTACACCCCACTACAATGCCAGGAAGCTATTTTTAACTTCTGCCAACAAAATATGTTGTTGAAGCTATGCTGGAGACTGGAGAGGTGGGAGGGGAGGATGGCTAGACCAAAATGCCATCTCTGTTTATTCCTGGGAAGAACTTGGGATTGCAGATTTTTGGAGTCCCAAAATGAGATGAGGTCTTCTTAGGAAACATAGTTATATTGTCTCAGAGGTCTGGACTATCAAGATTAACATAAATTACTGCGTGCTGAAGTGGGACAAGGAGAAGTAAGTATCTCAAGTGGCATATTTGGGTTAGCAAGACATAGGCAGATCATTAATTTTCTGCAAAACTCATTTTCCTCAAATGCCACTGAAATGCATGGGAGACTTCACAAGAACTCACCTGCTTAACTGCTGCACTCATACAACCACCTGTTTCTTTTACTAGGGCTGGCGAAGAAGAATTACTAATGGGAGTTATGGCTCATGTTAATAGGGTCAGCTGAAAGAATTTGAGGTCCGGTGCAACATCAGGTTTGGATCCCCTTGACAGCCCCAGATTAACACCGCAGATGGTTATCCTGTAAAATAAGATGTTAAAACTATGTATTCAGAATGGACCACTCACAGAACCTGTATTACAAACAAAAAAATATACAAGTACTCCTCAACGTGTGTCTACAATTTCTATTTCTAAGCAAACTATTTTGCCCCATTTTATGACTTTTTTTGCCATTGTTGTTAAATTACTGCAATTGTTAAATTAGCAACACAATTATCAAATGAATTTGGCTTCCCCAATTGACTTTGTTTGTCAGGTTGCAAAAGTTGATCACATGATCTCAGGACACTAAAACCATCATAAGTACATGCCAGTTGCCAAGCATCCAAATTTTGATTACATAACCACAGGGATGCCGCAATGGTCATAATGGTAAAAATGGTCATAAGTCACTTTTTTCAATGCTGTTGTAACTTCAAACAGTCACTAAACGAATGGCTGTAAATCAAGGATTACCTGTAATGATCAAAGCCAATTGGGAAAACAACACCTTCTTGCCAGCATTACCTTTCATCCCAGAAATATTTGTCTTGAATGTTTTGTCCGGTTATGGAATTTCCTTCGGAGGTTTTTCAAATCTGCAATCAATTGGGGTTCAAAGTCCAAAATCTGTCCTGGATCTTTGCTGCATATCAAAAAAGATAAATTTGATCAGCACAGTGAGAACTTCCATTTTATCCTGGCTTCTGAGATTTCTCCTTTCCTTTTTAATGTTGAAGTGCTACAGTGGTTCTGAAACTTTGATGCGATTCCCTTTCCTTCCTAGTTGAACCAAGAGGGATCTGCTGCATCATGCACAGTGGCCATTTGTATGTTTTTCACCAGTGTTTCATAAACAGAGCAAAGTAGTAACAACTACTACTTGGTGGCGCAGCAGACTAAAGCACTGTTAAGTAACACCAGCTGCCTGCAATTACTGCAAGTTCAAATCTCACCAGGCTCAAGGTTGACTCAGCCTTCCATCCTTTAGAGGTAGGTAAAATGAAGACCCGGTTTATGGGGGAAATAAGCTGACTTTGTATAAAAAAGAACACCACTTGGAGGGGGGGGAGCCCTACTAAGCAGGTATATACAAAAGTATGAAGGCTATTGCTTAACGCATTTTAAGCCGCCCTGAGTCTCCGGAAAAGGGCGGCATATATAAATCGAACCAATAAATAAATAAATAAACAGGAGTAAGCGGTCCATGGTTGGATTATTTTTTGTGGTACTCACTAGCCAACTAAAGGATGCACTGGTGAATCTGAAAGGATCCTTGGGAGTCACAAGTGAGGACATCTCACTTGTGCAAAAGGTTTGGGAGATGAAAATAGCTAAATGGAAGTGTCTTAGTTCAGTGCACCAAATTCCAAAAGGAGAGACAAGAATGGGAAGAATGCCAATCTAAATGAGAATGAAGTAAGATTCCTCTATTAGAATAATAATATTTTTGGAGTTCATTCTTTGCTTCACACTTTTGCAGGTAAGCTTTGAAAGTAGAGGAAAGAATGAAGTAAATGCAATGAAATGTATCTATGAGGTGCTTGATTCAAACCTGTTCTACAGAAAGAGGATGAAAGGGGAAAGATGAACCATATTATTTATTTATAAGTACAAATCTGACCAATTTTCAGTAATCATCAAGAGGGAATCTGTCTCATGTTACTGCTGTAGAATAAAGCATATTCTGGTTTTAATGTCACTGTGAAATAGTTATGTTTTAGCTTTTGGTCTCTTCTCTCCCCCACCCCCCGTTTTTTTTTTTGGATTTTTATTTTTAACGTATACATTAACACAGGGTGAAATCTAAAAATATTTCCCTACCCGTTCTGTGGGTGTGGCTTAATTGGTGGTCAGGTGGCTTGGTGGGCATGGCTTGGTGGTCAGGTGACTGGGTGAGCATGGCCAATAATAATAATAAATAATAAAAATAATAAACGAAGTACACAAAACAGTAAGAGGTACCAAAAACCAACTTTTACACTTTACATACACACAACACAACACAACTGACAATGTAAAAGCAGCTGCACTTCACCCAAAATGGCCCTTGCAACAAGCAGGAACCTCACACAGCCACAAAAAGGTGAAAAACTAACTTTCACACTTTTTCCACACAAAATGCCACATACAGCTTTGTGAGATTTTGTGTGTTTGTGTAGTTAGAGTGAAACACTACAGAAACACACCAAATCTCAGAAAGCTGCACAAATATTTTATTTTATTTTAATTTAATTTTTAGATAAAAGCAGCTAAATTTAAAACTTCCTTAACTTTAAATTGCTATGAACAAGCCCAAAAGAAGCAGCAAGCTGCCAAGTGGGGACCGGGCAATTGGGTAGGCATGGGCAGGGGGGCCAAGAATTTTTGCTATCGGTTCTCCAAACTACCCGCCGCCATTGCTACCGGATCACTCGATCCGATCCGAATCAGGAGCATTTCACCCCTGCATCAACATCAATATATGAACAGTGCAGCATCTGCATATCATTCATTTTGGGACAAGTGGTAATATTTGTTACATTAATCAAACTTATTAAATCCTAGTATTAATATACATGTTTGTTTTAAAGTAGTTATTCAATATTTTAATGTCAATCACAATATTAGAGCTTACATAGTAGTGCAATCTTTCAACCTCTAATCTTTCCCTCTAGTTATTGCTTTTATTCTATTGTATAAAAAATATGTTTGCTAATATTTCCCCTATTTCTTATTTCTACCTCTATTCTGGCTTCTAGTCAGGCCACCATTGCTAATCGTAGTGTTAATACACATTTATATTAAAATACAGTCCTTTATTATTTAATTATTCAATGTTTCAATGCGCCATTCTAGTGCCAATCATATTATTTAGATATATTTAATAATACCATCTTTCAACCTCTAATTTTTTCATCTAGCTATTACTTTATATAAGAATATGTATTCTTATTTCTATCTCTATTCTAGTTTTTAATCAGGCCATCATTATGTGTTTGTGTGTGTGTGTATTCCTTTGTATCCATCATCTCTTTCCTGTTTTAATACTTCAATTCTTATTCACTTTTTAGTTGCTTCCCATACTCCTCTCCTCGATCCTTGTCTCTATCTACATCTGATGGCTTCTAATTATCTTTACTACCGTTTCGCAACGGGATCGCATGCATGCTCGCTTTGCGCGCGTGCCTTGCTTCTGCACATGCGCAGAAGCTTCTGCGCATGCGCAGATCATCGACGATGAAATTTAGGGCAGTGGGCAGGGCCTCCCACCGGTTTTACTACCGGTTCTTGCGAACCGATCTGAACCGGGGGCAACCCACCACTGCTGTATCTTCATTGTTCAGTCTAAAGATTTCTCTCATCTCTATCCTCCTATGCTGCCCAGCCTCCAGAGTATCTATCCAGGCCTCTATCTCCCTTTCAAAAGTATCTTCCTGTTTCTCAGATTCTATTTTTAAATCTCTTAAAGTACTTTCCCCTTGATTTATTTCATCAGTCATTATTATCTTTATTATCTTCTCCTTCTCATCTTCTTGCTTTTTTTGCTGGTTTTTCTGTTCTGTCTTTTCCTCCATTTTTTCTGTTGTCTTCTCTCTTTCCTGGAATTTTTGGCCTTCATTCATTATCAGTTGCAGGGTATTTTCTATTTTCCAATTATGCCATGCAATAGGTTCTTTATATCCCTGTAATTCTTTGTAATAGTGTCCTTAATGCTTTGGAACATCAACACCATTTCTTTTGAAATTTCACTTATTTCCCCCTGATGGAGCATCTTGTCTTATTTTAGTGAGTCCTGCTCTTACTCAATAGTCCAAAAACAATATATTCAAGCCTAATTTTGCTCCTCAGAAAGTACAATACTCATAGTTCTTTATATTCGAGGATTATTCAATCAGTTCCATTTAGATAGTCCAGGAAGCTTTCCAAAAATCAGAAGCAGGGTGGATTTGATTTAAATCAAACTGATTTAAATCACGATTTAAATCACGATTTAAATCACTAGTCAGTAAGGCTTGATTTAAATCATAGTTTTCTACATAAAGACTAATTCTTGCTGGTATAACTTTAATATGCAAGTAGATGAAGATTTTGAGAATAACAACTTTTCATATTAGTTTTTTTATCCCCAGTTTAATAGATTAATCATTCATATTTGGACAACTTTTCTGTTGTACTTAGGAAGGAGAAAAATAATCATTACCTTAAGAATAACAATTTAAATAGATTTATTCAACTGAAACAATAACATTACAGCATATGTTATTTGCTTAAACAAACATCCATGTTTGTTAACTAATTTGGCTAAATAAAATATATATATTTTAAGAAACTTAGACTGTCAGCCCAGCCTACACATGAAAAACTTAAATACTGTCCTCTGTAGCTCACTCGTCATCTTCATCTTCTTCTTTGTTCATAATCTGGAAAAGAAAAACAAGCTTTCCTGCTTTATCGGGTCCCAAACGATTTCTCAATTTAGAATGAATGAGTCCAAAGGAAGAGAATATTCTTTCAACGCCTGCAGAAGAAGCTACTGCTGTTAAAAGTGAAATCATTACTTGAACAGTCTCTAAATCCAAGTGCTTAAGTGACTTCCACCAGTTCACTGGTGTGACTTTCTTTAAAATATCTTCAGCAAACATATATTTCTTGAATGGTTCCCCCTTAGCTTTGAAGTTTATTATAGTTGGCATTACAGATGGATGATTGCTGGATACCCATGTCATAGCAAACTCCTCTTCCTCAGCACTTAAGTTTTGACCCTGATACTGGATATTGACAATATTTGCCAAAAAATGAGCTGGAGACAGTACTTGTCCCATTCGTTTCATGTTATAACATTGCTGTGAAGAAGAGGCATGTGATCTTTGCTGAGTCAAATTCAGTTTTGAGAACTGCAAAAGTAAACCAAGCATCTGTGATAATATCTTGTAGGCAGAGAAACTGCCCAATAATCTTACAAAAACCTCTGGAAGAGCATGACATTGTGAATGGATTAATGGAATTTATTTACCAAAAAAATTAAATATATACAGCCTTATTCTACATAATTAAAAAACTAATTTTTATTTCATGATGGAATAACCTTTGGATGGTAATATATTTTCCTTAAAAAGCATTTTATTTAAAAAAATCCGATTTAAATCAAAAAAATCCGATTTAAATAAAAAAAATCTGATTTTTTTGATTTTTTTAAAAAAATCATTGATTTTTATCCAACCTGATCAGAAGTCACGTTACTTTACTTAAGAGTCTTCCTTATTCCCACAGTTGAGTCTCCAGTAATCATAAAGTAGATGATTATAGAACAGTAAGTATCACCACAGTTCTCTAGATGAATATTGTTTATTTCTCTAATCAAAAACTTTCCCAGGCTTGTAGGGGTATGGTATATTTTCCATTCATCAGTAGGTGGCATCCTCAGCTTAGGTTTCAGTGTTGTTTCAAATGTAACAAGTTATTTAATCCAATTTTAATTCAATTTGTAGAAGCAAAGTCAATTATTCAAGTAGATAATTTCAGCATTTTAAAATGTCTTTCCAAAACAACAACTACCCAGTTTGAAAGTCCAATTTTCTACGTTTTAAAAAGTCTTAGCTTTTCTCCCCTTGGTTCCTTTCTTTCAGGTCTAGGATTTTTCTCTGTATAATTGTTCGCTGCTTT